GAGGGAATCCCGAAGGACAGTCGGGGGGGGGGGAGGGGCTTCGTCGAGCTACGCGTTGATTCACGGATCCCCGCGGTGCCACTTTCAATCACAATTAACGGCCGTGATAAATGATTCGCACCGAGAAAGCGACTTGGTCGGCTCGATGAAAAAAACGGGCAATCAAACGCGATTTGGCTCGCGCTTGACCCGAAATTTCGCGTCCTTCAGCGAAATCGCGCTTGATCGGCCCCCGTTGTCGATTGATGCAATCAAACTGGTTCCTCGGTGTGCTCTGCCCGATTCACTCGGTCCCCTCCCCGTTTTACCCGAGGTCGGATACGGTGTTTGTCTCGCGTCGAATTCGCGTCCTATTTCCTTCGGTAGTCAAATACACGTTTCCCATAAGATCTGTCGTTTCCGTTCCGGAGGACACGCCGTCCCGGGGGACGTACACATGCACCAGCGTCCCGTTCACACGTTGTACACTCTCGTGCACGCGAGTCACGTCGAGAGCGTTCTCGCGCACGTGTGCGAGCGGGCGTGCGTGCGTGAACGCGCGCACATGACGGCGCGACGCCGGTGCTGTCACATGAAGCCGACACCGAGGATGGAATAGCACAGACATCCCGTCACGACACGGTTTTAGCCCAAAGCCTTATCTCGCCGCCTCGTGTCCACGCGCGCTCGCACGCTCGCGACGATCGACTGTTACTGCTTGTGCATCGAGGGTGTCGCGCACCGAACTCGACCTCGGGGTGATGCTCGTTCAAAAGTCGCAGATTCTGTTCAATCTGAACGATCGAATGTGGTGGATCATCCCCGTTGACGGAAAATGTCCCCCGAGACACTTCTTCATCGAATTAACAATTCTAAGATGGTTGTCGCGTGGGAAAAAAAATGTCTAAGGAGATATTATGAAAAAATCTGTGATGCCGATTGCAACGGCCCTTGTAAATTCTCTTGTGAATTTTGTGACTAGCTGTACACCGGGAAGAAAAATGCTTCGGGTAATATTTTCTCGATCCAAATGAAATGATCGTTCTATTTTTTTGCCGGCAAATATCTGGCAGAAGTAGAAAATATAATTGACTAAATACGACACGATATTTCTTATAAGTAGATATTTATTTATACGTGTCAAAACAGTTTGCAAAAAAATATTAATTTCATATTATTAAGGATGTCAGAATTTATTTCTAGAGAATGTTTGCTGGATGGAAAAATCGAAATTTTCAACTACTAGGTTCCTTCAATGGAAAAGATATATTACACAATTCTAGTAGAAACTCTTGTAATTTTAGAACCATCTTACATTCAGTATTCATTCGGTATTCGTTTATTTACAAATTAAGATATTACTCGTTCAAGTATTTATCGCAAGCTATTAAGATATATGTAAATTGATAAAAATATTGCCCGGCTTAAAAGACTGAAAAGCAGGTAATTACGTTTACTCGATTGTAGCATTTTTCCCGTGTGGAAATTTCATATAATTTTACACAAGACCATAAAGTTCTGTACAAATGATAAGGGGATGAAAATAATGTGAAAAAAATCCACGAGTTCGGAGGGACAGTTGTCGAAGACCAAACAAATGGTCGCTACGATTTACCGTTTCAAAGGCGATCACCGGCCGAAAATGACCTTGCTTGCGTGTTGATACCTCTTAAAGCCTTAACGAGTCACTTTCCGGAGGAAGAATACGAATATCGTCGCGTTACATGTCGAAACCACCTCGTCACCTTGCGTGCTGCTTCGGCCCGGCCGGGTGGTTTCGTCGTAAAAATTGCTTGCCCGTAAAGAGATCGTTGCACGCCGAGGAGGTAAGAGCTTCCTGGACTACTCCGCTTCTTTCTTCCTTCTTCCCCTGCCATTCTGCCGCCACACGTTTCTGCCTTCCTCGACACTGTATATGTTTTTCGTGTGCACCTTCGTCGTGCTTCGATCCGCGCTGCTAGGCGAGATGTATACTCGTTGTTAATCGAGGCGTGAATGCGAGAACGCGAAATTGCAGAGATTCACATTTCCGGAGATGCGCTGCGCTTCACAGTCAAAATTCCGAGTTGCACCAGTCGTTTGACTTGTTGCTTCATTTATCGCGAATTTCCAGTCGAATTTTCGTGAGCCGGTTC